TGAAAGGCACATTGTGCAGTGCTAGGATGGGCGCGGACAGACAGCTATCGATGCCACCTTCCCTTTAGGACGGTAGAGAGAAGAGGCGCGCCAATGAGGATTCTCTATATCCGTCTATGCGATCAGCGTAATTCAGCGAAAAGGTGACAAACATCAGTCAGAAACTCACTTGTCCTTTGCCCATAGAGCTTTCGCGAGAATAGCCTTTGAAACGATAAGCGAGAAGGACGACATCTTTTTCGACAGAGCATTCCTTCAAAATATCCCACTTTTGCTCCGTAAGGTATACATCATCTTGAATCTCATCCCCGTCGACAGCTTGTTGCTGAAATAACACTTTTCTAGAGGATAGATATCTTCCAAACAGTCGCTGGCAATAAGTCACATGTCTTAATTATTTTTGAACAACAGGCTGGCACTCGCAGTGCATCCCAAAGAGGGTCATAAGGTCCCACATGCGGCGGAGAGACGTTGCAAGTGATGCGACCGGCGCGCGCGAGTGATTATGGCAACGGCGAACAAGCCCGCACCCCTGCTCTCAACATTATGTCACTTACTGAAAAGCTGAACACTTTTCAATTGAATAATTGAATTCATGGAGGAAGTCGCTGACTACATACAAGAAGCAACTGTACACTCACCTCCCAGGATGATCCTGCTATACGTAAGAAAGGAGTCCGTAGCTCTACAAAGTAATATTTGCAGCACATGAGAGCGTGCCAAAATGAGGCTGAAGGGTAGTGGTACCCAGGTGCCGTTTGGAACTCTGCCGATTTATCCACAAGGTTCAACACTTGTGTCAAAACCAAGATCCCGCAGCGAAACACGCACCAAGAGGAAAAGAACAACCAGACGTGAGAGAGCGCAGACAGCTAGATCGTTTGCCCATGGTCAAGAGTACGACTGGCAGTGCGACAAAATCCCAGCGGCACACAGATAATACTGCCCTCCATATCCATCCACCTCGCCCATGAAAAGGACAACGATCCACGGAAATGAGTGTACATTTTGTTTTGGGTGAGTCATGCACTGTATACATATATCACATAGAAACATTTGTAAACCCACATTTAGAACCTCCAGAAGGCTGTCAAGTGTTTCTAATCCTTTTCGTCTCATCATCCTCAGGATTCTGAAATGACCCACAGAAAACATT